CTTATTTCCCCTTAACCTCCTCCAGGGTTCAAGCTTCTCGTAGTTATAGGATTTATTACGGCCCGCAAGAGAATCAGACCTCCCAAGCCAGGTGGGTTACAAGGTTGTTACTCCTGGATGAATTCACATCGCACACTGAAGCACAGCTGCTGCTGAAAAGGGGATCACAGATGTGCAGTAGCTGTGCAGTTCGCTGGCCTGTAGGCATTACCCACCCATCCTCTCTCATGGCACCAAAGGAAGGAAAGGACGGCTCAGGGATGAAAGCTTGTCCTCCTTTCCTACTTCCTTCATAATGACCTCCTAAAGTCCTCTTCCTCCTAAAGTGACAGTTTTCCTGAGTTCCCAATCTCTCCATCCAGAGAAATATAATAGTGCTACTAATTTTGGGGCAGCAGTAACTATTTTTTGTTTGTTTTGTTTTTGAGGCAAGGTCTCAAAAGGCCCAGGCTGGCCTCAAACTGTCAGTGATTCTCCTGCTGCAGCCTCCCAAGTGCTGAGATTACAGGGTGTGCCACCACACCTGGCTGAGCACTCCTATTGACCACCACCATCTCTATTTCACTGCTGCTGTTACTGCCGTTACAATTATTAAAAACTCACACCATCTAGGCATGATGGTGCATGACTATAATCCCAGAACTCCAAGAGGCTGAGGCAGAAGGATCGCAAGACTGGGCAGCTTAGCAAAATAATAAAAGATCTGGAGATGTGGCTTAGTATAAAGGTCCTGGGTTCAATACCAAAAAAGGGGGGGGCAGGGAATCATCTTCAAAGGACTCATTTGGGGAAATATTCTTAGAATGTAGGTCAGTGAGGCTTTATTTGTGGAGAGAAAGTAAAGAATCTCCACTTCAGGAAGCTCCTGATTGGGAAGTGTAGTGTGTCCCTGAAGTATACTGAGATTAATTATGTAGAATGGCCAGCCTTTTCTGTCATACCTCAGACAGGCCTCATGGCAAGAGGGTTTCCATTGGCGTGGTTCCTTGGCTCTTTGCTTTGCCTTCTACAATGGTGCTGTGCTATTGGCACTTTTAGAAGGAAGAAGCCAGGTCTGGTGGTACACACCTGTAATCTCAGCATTCAGGAGGCTGAGGCAGGTAGATTACCACAAGCTCGTGGCCTGCCTTGGCTACATAGTGAGTTTAAAGCCAGCCTGAACTGCACAGCAAAACCCTATCTCAGAAAAAAGAAAAAGAAAAGAAAAATAGAGGGAGCAGCACTGCCTCATGCAGGATCTCCTGTCATTGTGGTTTCAGCCATCTTTCTCCTTGCAAAGTCTGTGCCTCCAAAGATATGTCATCCTCCTTCTGTCTTTATAAACTGGTGTGAGCTGAGTGTAGTGATGCATATTTGTAATCCTAGCATTCTGTGAGGTGTCAGCAAAAGGATTGCAAGTTTGAACCCAGCTTGTTAATTTAGTAACTTAGGGAGATCCTGTTTCAAAATAAAATATAGAAAAGGCATGAGGATGCAGACCCTGGGTTCAATCCCCAGTACTGCAAAAAATAAAATAAAATAAAATAAAAATAATCTTTGATGATTAAAAAAAAAAAGGAGTGAGGATGTAGCTCATTGCAAAGTCCCTGTGTTTAATCCTTAGTAACACACACATACACACACAATTTTATTTTAAAAACTGATCTGGCCTCAAAACACTCATCATTTGTACTCCAAGAAATGCTAATACAGGCTCTGTGCTTGAAGATTCAAAGATACAGAACACAAGAGGGTACATTGAAACCTTGGGCCCCTGGCCCTTGCTCACTATTCTGAACTTGCACTTGAGCCATGACTGTGGCCTTCATATAGAGCTTTTAGGTGTGGTGTTAAAGGCTGGATGACTTTAGTTGTTGGCTCTTTGGGACCCCAGAGGAAATTAGCACACTGTCAAGCTACCAGGGAGTACCTTTATCCACTCTTCAGTCTGACTGTGGCAGGTATTCCCAGCTTGGGGCAATATTCTGTGAACTATTATGAACCAGGACATTCTGACTCGGGTCAGGGCTGGTGGACAGAGGTTCTCAGGAGATCCCTGCATCTAGCAGGTGACACCAGTGACCATAGTCTCCTCTACTGCAGCATCCTCAGGGGCACATTACAGGCTTCTGTATGTCATTCACCTCCCCCCTGAGGTCCCCGGATCCTTGTGAATCTCTGTGTACAAAAGCAGATTCCAGGGCCAGGGATTTAGCTCAGTGGTTCTGCTGCCTGCCTATAAGCACAAGGCCCCAATTGCAATCCCTGGTACAAAAAAAACAAAAAAACAAAAGCAGATTGCAGTTATTTAGAAGATTTCAATTCTTTGTAACTAAGACAGAACCCTGCCTGGCATTAAAGGCAGATTTTGCAAAGGAAAAAAAAATTTTTTTATACCATACCACATTGAGAGCCACAAGTGGATAAGTTTAATTGGAACCATTTCTATCCAACACATGGATGAAAAGGTCAGTGTTAGCATGTAAAAAGGGCATTAGTCAGTGTTCACACAGGAACCAGAGTATCATAACCAGACAAATTCTTGGAGAATAAAGTTTTTAAGGTTTTTGAGTAAAGGAACTTTCCTCTTTATTTATGCTTCCATTAGGATTTTGAAGGAATGTCAACGCACTGTTATTAACTCTAATAGCTTGCACATCACAGCCAGAATGGTTTGGGGCCCGCTGGCTCTCAGGTTACCTGTGTAAATACAGGGATTCACTTCCCAGAGCCCAGCTCTGCCATTTGCTTAATAAAGAGCAAATGTGCAGAATCCAGCAGCAGTGGCCTGGCAGAAGCAGTAATCCGAAAAGGATCAACATGCTTCCTTTTTGTGTGATGCTCCCTCTCCATCCTCCTGCCAGGAGCAGGATATCAGATGAAGGGGAGGTTGTGGTTGGAGTCAGTAAAGTGAATGTCTAAGTGGCACCTGCTTCATTCAACAGATCTTCTTTCTCTTGGCCTCCCACTGCACATCTGCTCCTGACAAAGCCTCTTTTCTCCTCCTGTTGGTTAGACTGAGAGCAAAGGCTCAGCAAGGAGACCCATTGGTTTTGCTTTGTCAGCACAGTTACCTGTGACATTATAATTACACCAAATCTTCGTTATTAGAAAGGGCCCAATTTAGAGATTTTCGGAGCATAAATGGAGTTTTCAAAATGAAATAGAAACATCTTTGCTATTGTAAAGCTGGATCTGAGAATCATTGACAGGTCTAAATATGGAAACCGAGACACCACTCTGAGCTGTACTACAAAGGCCTTGCTATCAGATTGGCTCACTCATGAGGCGTCCAGCAATTCTTCTGCCTTTGCTGAGCTCAGTTGTCCTCACTGCTCACAGCACTGTGATGCCCATCTACACTGTATTGTTCCTACTGCTGATAGAGTTTCCGCATCGGGGCCTAGGGGGCTGAAGAATGCTGGAATGACTTGATGGGGTAAGGCAGTGAAGGAAAGAGCTTCTGATATAATATAAGTAAAGGAAATGCCCAAGAAATATATTTTAGGTGAATACAAAGCATTCAGTTTGAGATTGGGTTTCCACCTTAACAAAGACAATTCTTATGGTGGTGGTGGTAGTGGTGTGTGTATGTGCATTTGATGTGCACATTTATGATATAGAGTTGACACTCTGGTAGAGTTTTAGAATTGCACTCCAGTTATTTAAACTTAATTATAATCAAGTAAAATTTAAAACATAGCTCCTGTCTTACGCTGATCCTATTTAAAGTGCTCTGTAGCCACCATGTTGGACAGTACATAGCACATGTCCATCGTCACAGGGAGTTGAACAGCACAGTGCTGCTTTAGAGATTGATCTGAACTTCTTAAAATGTTGTAACTGCTTCTGAAAGCCTTGGAGTATCTGCCTCAGACTTGGTGGAAGGAGAAAAAAAGTATTCCTGGGTGCTTCTGGAATGACTCCTCCCAGCCATGTTACCTGGACTGTGTTCTTTATCCTTTCATATTAATTTTTTTTCCTCCAAGAATTACCTTTCCCTACTCCTACCTCTTGCTTAAACAAGCAAAGCAAAACTGAATTATAGTGACTGAAAGGGATTTACTTCAGGAATACCCACTTTCAACTAACCCTCTCCCTGGGCTTCTCTTCCCTCAGCTCACGAACCTGCCATTGACCCAGAGAGTTATTTTCTTGTTAAATAGCCTCTGACTAAAACAAAAGGGCATGTGACCCCTCAGGGGCCAAGAGCATGTGTGATTTATTGGTTGTACAGACAAGGTGGAGGTGGACAGAGCTCGTGGGGTAGAGTGCTGTGTTACTAGCACCTTCCCTTCTCAGCTGCCCTTGGGACCAGATGTGTTTTCAGTCTGGCTTCCTCTGCTGGTCTGCCTTCAGCAGCTACCACACAGTTGCTGCGTCTTCTGGGAGAAGCCCATGTGAACTAACGGTACCACCTCAAATTAAGACAGCATCTTTTTTCTAAATAACTTAAATCATGTAACCATTGGGTACTTATGTTCATATTAGCTCTAAGAGACAGAAGAAATCTGTGAGTTTTATAAACATATATAGCTGACTCTGAGCTATCACATACAGATTGTCATCCTGATTACTTGTGACACATTTTAAATCCCTGGACAGTTTTTTTAAACAAGCCATTGTAAGCCTGGACTATCTTCTCCACCCCCTACCCCAGTGCTGGGTACTAAGAGAATATAAATTAATTTTCATATTAGCTTAAAAGAAGACATAATTAGGAAGGTAAGTAGGCTACCAAAAAAATCTTAAGTGCTAGTTAAGAGGGGGAAGTAGAGAGTGGTGACCTACCCTCCTCAGCTCAACTGAGAGCTGGACTCCAGGTTGTCCTTCTATAAACCTGTGCCCCATCAGCACTCATGAGTGGGCATGTTCACTGCAGGGTGTTAAACACTCCGTGGGCAGGCATCAAAGATGCCGGGTGCTCTGTGCACCTGGGTATATGGGGAGCTGCTGAGCTGCAGCAGCTTCTGTTAGTGCATCTTGCCCAGTGCTTTTTAACAGTTCTGTGTTCTTGTCAGGCCTCTTTATGGCAGACTATGGAGGTTGCAAGTGGATCCTGGCAAGAAGGCTGCAGGTGGGTTCATCTGTGGGGAAAGCAGGAAGCAGCTGAGGGTGGAATAACTACAAGGCGGCTGCCAGTCCAGGCTCTGCTTTCTGCATGGACAGTGTGTTGCCCCTACGATGCCATCCCCATCATCCTGTCGCCCAGTAGCTTTAGGAGCCATGGATAATTGCACATTTCTGGTGTTACTCTTCCTTTTTCCTTGATTAACTGGGATTCTTTTATAAAGAATTTGTCCCAGTAACAATATGACTGTGTCAAGTACAGTTCAGATAGGAAAGGGAGAATAAATACTCGATCAAGATGAAGTTTACTGGCCCAGTGGATTCCAGGACTCCAAGATGGTTCCAGTTGTACCAGTGAAGAAGAAACTCATGGATGTCAAAACTAAGGGACTTTGCAAGCTGGACACTGATGTGGGATTCCAGCCCTCAAGGCAACACTGGAGTGTTTCAAAGATTACTTACTACCAGTGTTACAGCAGCACATCAACATGAAGAAAGGGCACTGCACTGGGGTTAGCCTGATCCTGGCAGCTTATGTGCTTTTTGGCTACTGCCTTTCTTAACAAGGAACTCAAGCCTGAGTGGCAACACGGGTGCCATGGTTCAGTGCACAGGGCACTCTCTGGATCCTGACCAGGGCCAGCTTGCCCTCCCCGGCTCTGCTTGTTGGAAAACTCAGTCATTGCTGAATCCTTTTTCAGTCTGAGAATTAATAGCCAATAAAAGTGATTGCTTAGAAAAAGATGAAACTTCACCGGGATAGATTTCTTTCTGTGTGACTGTCAAAGCCCATAACTGTCCACTTATTTCTGCTTTATACTGCATTCTCTTCAGGTATCCCACTGTCAGTAGAAAGGGTAATTCTGCTCTTGATATACTCTTCACAAGTTTCAGCCTGAAAGTTTTCTTGTTTTTTCATAAATGTCCCCCTACAGATTATGCTCAGTGAGGGGTTGAAAAATGAAGAGTGCATCTTTAGAGGCCGGGGATTTAGCTCAGTGGTGCTGCTGTAAGCACAAGGACTGGAGTTCGATCCCCGATGCCAAAAAAGTGGGGGGGGGGCACAAGACTGCATCTTTGGAAGCTTTCTTGCCTTCTCTGTCTCTGCTCAGATAGAAGAGGCAGGGCTAGGGGGCTGGGATTTAGCTCAGTGGTTCTGCCACCTGCATCACAAGCACAAGGTCCTGAGTTCAATCCCCAGTACTAGAAAGAGAGAGAGAGAGAATAGAAGAGGGAGGGGTAGCTGACAAACATACGCCAGTTCATCATACCCGGGTGTACTTAAAATATGCCAAGGCAATAAAATAGAAAAGCAGATCTCAGTCTGATTCTGTGTAACTCCTGTGTGTCTTTTCTGTACCTGATGATTGCACATTCTTAGCTTGGAGATTTTTATTTTTATTTTTTATTTTTTTGAGACAGGGTCTCGCTATGTAGTTCAAGCTGGCCGTGAGCTCACTGTGTAACCCAGGCTGCCCTCAGACTCATGGCAATTCTTCTGTCACAGCCACCCTAGGGCTGGGATTATAGGCATGCGCTGCCACCACCCCCACAGCTGGAGACTTTCTTTTGAGCTTCCCGTAATTGCTCCACTTTCTCCCACCCAGGTACTAATCAGGCATGACCCTGCTTGGCTTCTGAGATCAGATAAGATTGGGAGTATTCAGGATGGTATGGCCATAGATCTCTGCTTTACTTTCTGTTAAAAAGTGTTTGTTTGCTAGGTGTGGTGGTCACACTATAATCCCAGCCCTTGGGAGGATAAGGCAGGGGGATTGCCCTAAGTTCAAGGCCAACCTGAGTTACAGAGCAAGACCCTGTCTCAAGAAACAATGACAAAGTTATTTGTTTACCACACGAATTGCCCCTACACTGGTACCTAGTACTGGTACATGGTACTCTCATCTGTTGCTGCCATTCATCTTCCCAGTGATGGCTTCTGGGAATTTACTGGGCACCCACCGCTTGCCCTTCTTGTGTAGTTGGATCACATATCCTCCTGCACACGTGCATATTCCCCAGGTCTTAGTGGAACACTTTTCTCCGCTGCCATTTGCGGTGAGAAGCCTTCCTGTTTAGCCCAACAGGTCTATGAGTTAGTTAGCTCAACTGCATGTGTGAGCTCAGTTTCCAAGATAATATGCTGCCGTGGTTCTGAATACTAAAGCACAAAACCCTGATTTCAGTGTTCCTGGGCATCTGCAATAATTTCAAGATGTCATGAAATCGTATCTCCAAAATATGTTTTGAGATTCATTTACTAGCAGTAAAAATTAATTCAGTTTTGACATTTGACTTCTGGGACAGGGTTGTAAGGACTTTCGAGCTGTTCTGTAAAATCAGGCAAAGGAGAGAGTAACACTGTCCCAACCAGACAGAGGCACTGCTGGGAACATTATTGGAGGAAATAGTTTTTCTAAGTGTGCCTTGAGATTGCCTAGCGAGAAGGGAGAGAGCCGTTGGTGTTGAGAAGCACCCAGTACACCTCCGCACTTGGGAGGTTGCTTTGGGCTTCATGAGAATATTTGGTGTTTGCCAGATGAAGGATATATTTTAAGCCGTAAATCCTCCAAATGCACCCAAAAGCCTTAGACTTTAAAAGCATGGAAAAGGAGGATTGAATGTCCTAGTAGCAGCTAATATAACGGGAACAGAAACACAGGGAAGGAAGTGCTTTTTCTCTCTCTGCCTCTTGTCTTATCATCATAATGCTTGCCTGTACCTCCCTTTGGTTTGGTACTAATAATCCTCTTCTTGCCCTAAGCCTTTCCTCTTTCCATCTGGTCCTTGTTTGTTACTCTCAGCCTCTCTCTCCACTGCCTGCCTACTGGACAAGCTTCTCTACCTGATTTCTATCTATCTTCTTATATTTCTGTGCCATGCCTATTTCTCTCGCACAGTGACAGCTTCCCTTAGACATCAGCCACTCATGTAAACATTTTTCCAGGCCTGCAAATGAAAGATTTTTAAAAAACTTTCTGCCTGCCTGTCCTTCCTAGAGACACTTTAGATGCTATTGATGCTTCTTTAAAACTTCAGCAGTTGTATAAAATAATGGATAATTTCATTTCTTACTTGTTTATTTTTATCCCTTCTAGTCATGATCTTCTGGTTCCCCATTCAAGCCAGTGTTTTCCTGATGTGTATGGTTAACGTTCTTGTCAATAAACTATATTATGCCATCATTTGATGGGGGGGTTAAGAATTCTTTTCCACCACCACCGATGGTGTTTATTATTTATCTATTTTCCTCTCAACCATTAATATTTTTCTGTCATCTAAAGATAACTTCCAAGCTGGACGTGGTGGCACATGCCTGTAATCCCAGCACTTGGGAGGCTGAGGCAGGAGGATCACTGTGAGTTCGAGACCAGCCTGGGCTACATAGTGAGTTGCAGATCAGTCTCAACTACATAGTGAGACTCTGTCTCAAAAAACCAAAAAAAAAAACCATAATAATAATGATAATAATAATAAAATAAAGATAACTTCCATAGCCAAGTTGGAAGGCCTTTTGGGCTGAAAGATTCAGTTATACCAAACAACAATTCCCAAAGTTTTCCCAGTTTAGGGAATGAAAGGCCCATTCTTCCACAGCTGTCTGTCCCGCCCTATCTGTGGTGGGACAGGGGAGGGCAGACTGAAGTACTGAGTAACCTACCTGCACTGCCGCCCTCTGCTCTGCTTGGGCTCAGGCTTATCCTATGAATTTTTGGAGTTTAGAGGGCTGGGAATGTGGCTCAGTGATGGAGCACTCGCCCATGGATTCAATCCCCAGCACAGTCAAAGAAAAGGCTCAGTGGAGGAGTTTAGAAATTTGTCACAGTGACAAGATATCCTATTCCTGGCTATCATCATCATATATATGTATTTGGGGTGAGGGGGTACTTGAACTCAGAGACTTTTGCATGCTAGGCAAGCACACTGTGCCACTGAGCTACACCCCCAGACCCCCGATCATATTTTTAACATTCTTGGTATTGATTAGCACTTTAGTCTGGATTATCTAGTTGCCACTAGAAGTGCCAGTGTACTCAGTTGGCAGCTACTTTGTTTCCCTTGTGGTGCAGTTCTGGTGCCAGTTGTGACCTGTGCTATGTCTCTGGGGAAACTCCCTGCTGGTCCACCTGCCTGATTCCTGAGTTTTACCTCTAATCTTTACATTTTCAAGAAATGATACATTTCTGTAGGACCAAAATGCTGCTGTACAATATGTGCCGCCTGCTTCTCTTCCATCTCCTTAGAGCTTTAGTTGAATATCCACAGCCCCAACTATTCCTCAAGCCTCTCCTTCAAAGTCATCTTTGAAAAGCAGTGAACCCTTACTGTGAATCTACTGTGTGCCAGGCACTACACCAGGCCTTACCTGCATTCAAACCATGTGGTCCATTCTACGCATGAGGGAACTAAGGGCAGAACCATGATTCACGTGTAGGTCCCTCTGACTTGGAAACCTTTACTGCAGGAAGATTGCCTATTTTAGCCTTCCATGTGCAGTGCCTGAACTGCCATATAGCGTTGATCACACACCTTAAGATGATTGTGGATAAATCTGACCTCACTCTAGAGCAGAGTAAAAGGCTTCAAGGGTTTTCAGTCTGTGGAGGGCAAGGCTAGAGGGAATGTAGTCCACTTTCTGAAAATCATGACAAATATGATTAACATATATTCAGTTATTAAATACCTACTACGCTCAAGTTGCTCGATATTCAGTGACATGGTCCTGCTAGCAATTCAAGTGAGTAGATTTATAGACAATAGCAATAACTGGAAGCGGGTCCTGACAAATCTCACGGCAAGCAGATGAGGAAGGAGAGAATATGGTGGCCTCTTCCATCTGCAGTAACCATGGAAAGATGTGGAAACTGTTGGAGGAGGAGGACTTAGAGCCACAGGGAATAATTCTAGGCATCTGCCTGAGCAAGTACGTGCAGTATTCAGAAAACTTTGGTAGGACAAATATGGTTGTAATGACAGGATAGTGTAGGGCACTTGTGGGCAAGGCTTACAT